CCACTAATAATTTATCTTATTATAGATACCTTCACCGTTACTCAGGCTGTAAACGCGTTCGGCTTTGGAAAATTTCAAGTACAATTGTCACTTTTTACTGGCTTGTGCTGGATGGCAGATTCAATGGAAATGACAATTTTAAGCATACTCTCACCTGCTCTCCATTGTGAATGGCATATCACTCGTTATCAACAGGCTCTTACTACAACTGTGAGATGACATAGTTTTTGTATAGATATGTAATTATTTTTATTTTTTTTGTTAATCCTTTTACATGAGTCTTAAACTTTACAGATTGTATTCCTAGGTATGATGTTAAGTTCAACATTCTGGGGCAATGTTAGTGACCGCTACGGACGGAAAAAGGTAAAATCCAAACAGAAAAATTTGTTCCTGGTTTTTCTTATGAGCATGAGATATTAATAAATTAGGATGAAATTCCTTTTTTGCAGGCCCTTACTATGTGTGCTGCACTTTTATTCTATTATGGCCTCTTAAGTGCTTTTGCACCTAATTTTCTCTGGATCCTATTCCTGCGTGGCCTTGTTGGTTTTGCGATTGGATGTGTTCCACAATCGTAAGTATCAAATTTATTTTGTATATTTTACCATTTTTATACTGCCTTTTTTCCTATTATTTTTCCAGGGTCACACTATATGCCGAATTTTTACCAACAAAACAGCGAGCAAAGTGTGTTGTTCTGCTTGATGTGAGTAGACAAGCTTTGTTTTTGCCTGGTGGTTAACTGATAAACTTTCTCCTAACTTTTTTTATTTTTTTCCAGTGCTTTTGGGCACTGGGTGCCTGTTTTGAAGTGCTTTTGGCATTATTGGTTATGCCCACCATGGGTTGGCAATGGCTGCTGGCTCTATCCACAACACCACTTCTGGCATTCGCATGCATCTGTCCTGTGAGAAATTCTCTTAAAGAACTAAAGAATCAAAAAACTTAAGAATCAAAAAATTAAAAAATCAAAAAACACAATTACTTTGTAAGTAAAACATTCCTTATTGTTTTTCAGTGGCTCCCTGAAAGTGCACGTTACCATGTAGCATCAGGGCAACCTGACAAAGCACTGGAAACATTGCAAAAGGTGAGACAACAGAGTTTCTGCTCCAAATCTTGTACAATGTAAGATTAAAAAATTATTACAAAGAAATTGATTTTTTTTTTCAGGTTGCAAAAGATAATGGAAAACCCATGCTACTTGGACGACTTGTTGTTGATGATGCTTCCATTGGGCGCCGAGGTCAACTTCGTGACTTACTTGGTCCAGAACTACGGCGGACTTCCCTTTTATTATGGTTCATTTGGTTGGTACTACATCCTAGAATTCTTGGTCTTTTTCCAACTCAACAACCAGGTTTCTATTTATTACAAAACCTTTTGTGATAGGATGGCTTGTGCCTTTTGCTACTATGGAGTGGTGCTGATGACAACAGAATTGTTTGAGGCTTCTGCTAATAGATGTTCTGAGGATGGCTCACTTTCGAGCCAACTGAAACCCATTGAGACATGCTCTGCTGATTGTAAAGAACTGACTACTACTGATTACATAGATTTACTATGGACAACCTTAGCAGAGTTTCCTGGTAAGAATTGGGTTTACGATTTCCAATGCTTACTTTGTATTTTTATTGGAATTCTGAAACAAAATCTCCTTGATAATATCCTTTTCTCTCTAGGCATATTCGCTACAATATTTGTGATTGAACGATTTGGACGCAAAAGAACTATGGCTGTACAATTTGTTATATTTGCCATTTGTATTTATTTCTTGCTCATCTGTAGTACTGAGAGGAGTTTCCTAACTGCAATGTTGTTTGTAGCTAGAGGGATAATTGCTGGTGTTTTTCAGGCAGCGTACGTCTACACCCCAGAGGTGAGTTTTAAATGGCATATACGTGTTTCCATAAAGCTGGATTCAAACTGCTTCCAACAAAAAATTTCTTTAGGTATATCCAACTCCTTTGCGTGCAGTTGGAGTAGGTAGTTGTAGTGCTATGGCTCGTTTGGGTGCTATGGTAACACCATATGTGGCTCAGGTACTAGAAAATAATATTTATTTTTCTGAGTTTAATCATTCATTGCCCTGATCCTAAAAAGCAATTGTCATCTTGAAAGGTGTTGCTGAATTCATCCCTTCTTTTGGCGATGACTGTATATGGACTAGCAGCTCTGCTGGCAGCAGTTGCATGTTTTATGCTTCCAATAGAAACCAAAGGAAAAGAACTGAAGGAGTCAGTGAGCGGTCCTCAGCTTCATCGCCCACAAACAAGTCAGCCTACAGCTAACACTGCAACCTCATAGTTCTGATGCAAAGCAGAGATATACACTTGTGCTTTTCCTACAAGAAAGAGGAAGTTGAGGATAAATTTTGGACAAGTTGGGTGACCGTACATAGTAGGGACAGATATGATGTGTACATCTAAGTACTTAAATTTCTTCATAGTTCTTCTGCCAATTGCGAGGTGAGCAATTGCAATGTTTCTATCAGCAAGTATTTAAAGTTTCCCAACTATGATAATATATAAGAGAAAAAAAAACATACAAAAAAAAATCAAGCTACTAAATAAACTATTTACAAACTTCACTGTTACCACAAAGTAAGACTAAGTTGACATACATATTTGTGATATATATCCTGATAGCAAATTCACCATTAGAGTGAGCTTGTAAAACATTTCTACTGCAGGAGTCAGTAAATTTGGTAAGGTCCTTCCCCTTGAAGCAAAATGCCAAATTTCTTTAAAGGCTGTGTCTAGATTCCTACTACTTTCTAAATTTGCTTATGCTTTATGCTTTTCTTTTAACAGTATGTAGTTTTTTAATTGTGCAACTTGAAGTGGCAGATGTGAATTTATACATTCAGATCTGTTCAAGAGCTGGAAATTTTTTTAGCGGTATTTATATTTTACCTTTCACCAACCAAATACTTATAGTATTTATTAAGTAGTTGACTACATGATGATGTTGTAATGCTGCAGAGTTTAAATTATTTATTTATAATATTTGTTCACCCCTTTTAATAATGTTTTTTTTAGAAAAAATAAAAAATAAGAAAGAATTAGGCCTGACTCTTTTATTACTATTACGTCTTTAATGATAGCAACCAGGAAGAGAATAAAATTAGTAATCCAAAAAACAATTAATGAAATTTTAATGAAGTTCATGACAGCTTTACATTCAATCTTAGCTTGCTGCCTCATTTTCCCTCTTATAGATAGGTAATCAACATGCAAAGCAAATATACATCCTCTAACAACTCACACAACCAGTAGATAAGAAAAAACAAAACAATGCCAACAAACTAAAACTATGTTTGGGATTCTCCAGTGCACAACATATGTGCTAGTACATAAAAAAGAAAGAAGTAAATGCCAGCAGTATTTAAGGTTTTGCTATTGTCCAAAAACAGTTATAAAACATTAAAATCTGAGAAGATAATAACCAGTAGACAGACTCCTGAAGGGCTGATTCTTTTCTTCAGCCATTGTTCTTTGTTTTTGTATGGTATTGTTTTAGCCTGAACATGTAACATCAGATGGTTCATTAGATTGTTGGCTAATAGGAGGGGATATTGTATTATTGACAAATTGAATAATCTGAGCAATCTCCAAGAGAGTTTCTGCAGCAGCATTGAACATTGCAGGCGGTTCTGTTTTTTCACCATTTACAAAAACTTCATGATTGAGTGAACCTCTGAAAACAACAGCTCTGTCCACCATCAAACCATTTATATCTGGATAGTCCGGGTTAAAACGAGTAAAACTAATAAAGTTGTTCCTGGGATCTTTGTGTGCGCCCCAAAGAGAAGATGGCAAATTTACATTGCGGTACTGGATTAATAATCGTTTGAAGTCAAACACGTAACTCACGTCTGGTTCAGCAACAATTTGAATACTGCCAGTCTCTGACGCTTCATCATCGATATCCACAGTAACTATAGTTTTGGATCTCCTGTGAGTACGGGGCACACTAGCCAAAACTTCACATTCACTTGTGTCACTATTACGGCGTTGGCGAGGAAGTTGCTTCTGGAGCATAGGTTCAGCAGGAGCTTGCCTCTCAATTAAAGCTTGTTTTCTCCTGTCACTCTTACCTTGTGTCTTTTTCTGGGTTTCTTTTCTTTCATCACCATCCAAAGGTTCCAAAGGAGTCCACATTTCTGATTCATCTTGTACCTCTTTCTTTTTCTTTGTTGGTGGTTTTCTTTTCTTCTTGGCTTTACTTTTGGATGAACCTCCTTCCTGTCCATTTTTAAGTTTAGATGTACCTTTAGCTTCATTTTTTTCTTCTTTATCACCTTTATTTTTATCTTTGTTTTCTTCATTGTTTTCATCCTTGTTTTCACTCTTCTTTTCATCCATGTTTTCATCTATGTTTTCGTCCATATTTTCATCCATTGTTTCATCTAAGTTTTCATCTTTACTACCATCAGCTTTTGGGTCATCATTCTTTTCATCTTCTTTTTCAGTATCATCATCTTCAGGATCAGCCTCTTCACTTAACTGTCTCTTTCGGCCACTTCTCCTGGCTGTTGGTTTAGTACTTGATGTTTCACCATCAGCATCACTGGTTGTTTGGTTCTTCTCATCTTCACCACTTTCTTCATCAGTTTTCTTCTCAACTCGTTCATCAGATTTTTTCATAACCTTCTCTTCTTTTTTCTTTCCAAATGACTTTCTTCCCTTGACAGTTGATTTGGTTTTGATGTCATCTTCGGCTGGTTTAGAATGTCTTAAACTTCTTCTTTCTGGGAGAGAAACTGCCGAGGCCTCAGAATCTTTATTAAGACTCCTACCCATCTTCATCTAAGGACTTAGTACCTGAAAAAAATAAGAAAACATTTTTAAAAATGATGTTGGTTGGTGGAACTTAAGTTAATACTGCGATTGAAGGGCAGTAAGCAGAGTAATTCAAAAACATAGGAAAGACCATATAAAGAAGTAAAAATAAAAAAAAATAAAAAAAATTAAAAAATTTTCATATAAGGGTTTTTCGGTAAGCATTGAAATAATTAGTTAGAGAAGAAATGCATATAAACAAGCCTAACCTCAACCAAACTAATTTAACTCTGAAAGAAATCAGATCGAGCGAGCTCAAAAAATAGACATGACAAAAACTGTTCACTTTCCAACAGAGACAAGATGAAGACAATATTTGTGGTGGTTATTTTCAATGCTGATATGCTACTTTACCTTAAAATAAGTAGATAAAATACGCGACCTCTTCGGAGGCCTCCAACCTTCTCCAACAACAATTCAATGAATCAGTCCAAAACACCGAATCCTAAATTACTTTCATTTTCACAAATGTGGCGAGACTAGACTTTACAACTGATATGGAAAAGACTGTAAAACGACTTCACTACAGGCATTTCTTTCTGTTTGTACACAAGGACAGCCCAAGCAAAGGCAAAGCAAAAGCCAGCAGCAGATCAAGTCTGCTAGAGGTGTTAAACACAGACGCAGACTCGACACAACAAGATGAGACGTCACATGACACGGACGTATATCCCAGGATGCAATGGCCGACACCCATTCTAACCGTACTCTGATTTGAAGGTACTTGAGAGGGGAAAGGGGGTAAAGAGGGGGCAAATTTTGGCGCCAGAGTGCATCGTCTGTTAAAGTTCTGTATTGTCCTCGTCGCGTGTTTAAATGAGTCAACTCGATCATCATGTACATAGATAACATTGTTGAAGGGTTTTATAACGTGGTGCATGACTCGGTAAGTCCCGTGGCCATTATTACATAGTGGAAATACAGCCTTTCTAAGCCGGAAGCATAATTTTAAAGGGCCTGTCAAATGATTGATTCCTTAACCTGTTCGTTTTTTTATGAAGATCCGAATGCTACTTTACCTCACCGTGTTCTATACTCTTTTTGTCCAGCCATTTATTTTCTTTATATTACATCTTTTTATTTCTAATATTCTTTTTAACACAATTCTATGGGAATGTGCACCTGTGATCTTATTTCATGTAGGTTGGTAATTCATTTATTTTTTCCCATAGAGAGTTCTGCTTTTTGTCAACTATGATATTGATGCCATCTGCTCAGCTAGGATTTTGCAGTATCTATTTCGATGTGATACAATATCTTATACTTTAGTGCCAATCTCTGGTATACAAGAATTACGTCTGGCATATGAAGAGAATTGTGAAGAAGTAAGCAAATTTTCTTGAGTATTGTTATGGAAGACTTAGTTTTATGACTGTCTATACTCAATTAAATTCTGATGATTACAGGTGAAATATGTGGTTCTTGTCAATTGTGGAGGAACAATCGACATTGTTGAATTGTTGGAACCCAATGAAGATGTTGTATTTTTCTTGATAGACAGCCATCGACCCACAGATCTTTGCAACGTTTTTAGCAGTTCCCAAGTTAGTTTATTATTGATATTACTTTTAATTTCGCGTTGTTTACTAAGAATTGAAAAACAAAACTTTTTGTCAGGTGAGAATTATTGGTAAACCTGAGGCTGAAGAGAACATCCCTGAGTTTGATGATGTATTTCGAGAAGATGTGAGTATTTTCAAAATTCTCCTACATTAAATTTCTTGTAAAAAATTTAATTTGCACCCCCTAAACTTGCCTCTTTTAGTCTGAAGATGAAGAAGACAAAAGTGACAATTCAGGAGGAGAATCTGACCCTGAAGAAAATAGGGCTGCTAAAAGAATGCGTTTAAGTGAGGAGGCCATACTTAAGCGAAGAGAACATCGTTTGTGGACTGAAAAGCGTGATAGATTTGTATTTAATTACACACAATTTAGTTATTTTGGAAAAGCTGTAAGTGTTACTCTATTGTTTTGTATTGTTTCAGTAGAATTTCTTGCTTTATCCAATTTCCATTTATTTGCAGAGTGCCGTAAGAATGTTTGAACTTGCCCTCAATCTTTCTAAGGATAATGTTGATTTACTGTGGTATGTACATTAACTATTACATTTTTTTCTTGTCCTCTTCTTTATGCATTCTATTTATTGTATTTGCCTCTGTGGTCTAGGTGTGCTATCATTGGAGTAACAGAGCAATATCTTCTTGGAAAAATTGAGAAACAGCAATACATCTTGGACACTGGTGTTCTACAAGGTCATGTGTCAAAGTTGAGTCATAATGTTGATGAAGAAACAGCTGAAGCTGTTGCAACCCCTGTCACTGCTCCACGTATCTCATTCATCAAAGAGTATCCTTTCTGTATTTCCTGTTCTCGAGTCAAATTTTTAAGAGCCTGTAGTCATGAGTCCTTAAATAACTAGTAGATATTTTTTTACTGTTCTAATCCTTAACTGTTTTCCCACTAGTCTTCAGCTTGCACTTTACCGACATTGGACTGTTGAAGCTAGTTTAAGACATTCCATGTATTCAGCATGCAAGCTCAAATTATGGTCTCTCAAAGGAGAACGTAAATTACATGAACTGCTTGTTGACATGGGGTCTGTATGAAACAATGTGATCCTTTGAGTTTTTAAATCCTCTTTTCAATACAGTATGCTGATTTTATTTTCACAGGTTACCATTAGCTCAAAGCCGTCAAAAGTTCTGTGCAATGGACATGGTTTTGAGAAAAGAATTTCATTCAATGATTGAAAAGTTAGCTGAAAAGTACAATCTTGATCAGTTGGTGTTCACCAGTTTTATTTTACAACATGGATTTAGAAATAAATTTTGTGCATCTGATGTTGTATATTCCATGTTAGCATTATTGGAGTCAACTGTAAGTAAATGCACATTTTCTTTATCAACTACTTTCACATACTTAAAAATGCCTCATGATTGAATATCTTATATTCCAGTCCCGTGATAGGTCTTCTAAAGATTGCTTTTTAGAGGCAATGGATGCTCTCTCTAGGTCAAAGAAGAATTTGCTGGAAGATGGCATTGAAAAAGCCAAATTAATGTTAACAAGTATTTTCAAAATGGTTCAGGGAGCTCTGGATATGCAAATGGTTGTTTCTGGTGGACCATTTCTGTATTTTGTCATTCAAGAGGTAAAATTTTGTTTCTGAAAGTTTCTTAATTTTTATTTCACTTTTTGAGGAGACTATAATTTCTTTAATTTTCAGGGAGCATTGAATGCCCGACATTTTTCCCATCCTCACACATTAATACTTCTAGCTCAGTTCCTATTACAAGCACATGTAATGGTTAAAAAAAAATCTTTAAACTTGCCACTAATAGCATCAGCACCTCTGAATGTAGAAGATGGAACATGTCTTGTTGTTGGAATCCCTCCTGTTATTGAAGATTCTCCCAGAAACTTTTTTGGAAAGGCGTTTGAACAAGCAGCAGAAAAAACAAATGCTCGAGCTCAGCTTGATTATTTTGATTCATCTATCATGAAACTTAAGACTGAAGATAGGTCAAAATTTTTTGATGCTCTAGCAGCACTTTTATCATAGTAATTTAATTCTGAGACCAAAATTTTTATTGTTATCAGATCCAAAGCCCTTGAAAAGTTTTCACTTCTCAAGGCTTTTAATTGGAGAAAATTGTGATATTATGCTTCAGGGGAAATGTGCTTTAATAGCACCAATTTTAAATTACGAACTGTATAGACCTGTAACTAATGATTTATGATGTAGTAAAGTAACTTTTAAGTGTTCTGTGATTTCTGTGAAATCTTTTTTATTATCGACAAATGTATTGCAGTCTTTCAGAATCATATGTGTATCATTTTTCTGAGTGTGTTTGTGAAGTTTCCCCCATGGCTGTGGGTGCAATAAAAATTTTTATATAACTAGTTATCAATTGCTTTACTGAAATAAGATTTGCTATCTGTGTTGGACACATGGCACCATGAATACATACTTCGTGTTTTATGTTTTTCTTGCCTTTCTAAGTTTCTTTGCTGGGGAAAGGTAACACCGTTTAAAATACCCGCTCATTTCGTCTGTTACCCAAGTGCATGATGGGTCTTCAGAGCACCAAGACCTCAAAGTTCCTTCTGTACATTTGTAGAAGGCTATTGTGTGCGACCCGCGTAAGACAGTGGTGTTTTAAATTTTGTACTGACATCTATCAGGAAACGTCAACAACAAGTACTCGTTTCTCTATGGGTTGCTGGTGGATCAAATCCCTGAAACCACAGCTTTTTATAACCAGTTTTAGTCATGGCCTTATGTGTGTATCCATTCTGTTTAGACAAACCAGCTGAAAACTACTTTCGGTAACTGTCTTTACAACCTAACCTATATTGTTGTTTTCGTTAGGGATTTTTGGAAATGTTGATATTCTATCTGAAGTCGAAAAACTAACGCCTTTGACTCACTTTCAGGGTTCCACCTGATCCAGAGTTACGGAAGAAGTGGATGTCTGCAATACCAAAGGTGGAAAACCTGACCGTTGATGCACTGAAAGGACAAGTTTATTTGTGCTCGAGACATTTTGAACAATCATGTTTTGACAGGGATGAAGGATCTCGAAAAATAAAAGGATTAAAGAAAGATGCAATTCCATCCATCTTTTTCGTTCCATCAAATGATTTAAATGTAAGTGAAGACATATAATTTGGCTTACGATCTTGTTGTTCTATTTGCACACATTTTTATAACATTTATTAAAACTTGGACATCAGAATGAAAATATAATTGCATGGATGAATACAAATTACAATGAATCTAAATTATGTATAAATTATTTTTACTTACCTACCGCCTATTAATAGATTTTTATTTAATCTTCTAGGTAGCTACTGCTGATGAAGATATGCTGACTGGAAGTGGAGTTGCGCCAACTGAAGCAGCTGCAGTAAAACCCCCAAAAGTTTCAGCATCTACCTCGAACATAGCTTTGTGCGTGAAGGTTCGCAATCAGGAGTTTAAGCTACTAGTATTGAAAGAAAAAATTAAAGAAGCTGAGGAGGGATTAAACAAAGCTAAAGAACACATGAAAGATGTTGATGAAGGTAACAAAACTCAGGAAGTTGAGGAACTGTACAGTAATCTTTTAAAAAAGATGAGACCAATAGCCCCTAAAAAGCCTCAAAAAAGAAAACCGAAAATATTGGAGGAAGTTATTCTTTATTTACGGAAAGAGAGACTTCTGTCACATGAAGCTGTTAGTGTTTTCCTGAACCTCTTTGCTGACGTTGTTGTAGAAGATATTCCTTCGCCTCAAGCTAGAGAGTCTCTAAGATGTTTTACCCAGTACCTTTTATTTTATAACTCTGAAGCCTATGACAAAATCAACTCAGCCTTTGATATTATGATGCCAACCATTTCTTCTATTCGAAACTTCTTCAACCCAAGTTGTGGTGAACCGGGCTGGAATCATGAAGCATTCAATTCTCTGAAACGACAAACTATTAAAGACAGCAAACTCTTGTGCTCCTTACTAGTAACCGAGACACCCATCAAACGGAAAGAGGAATGGGATGGGAGGAGGATGCGAGGATATGTTGATTGTGGTCCACCTTTATCTGGAAATGATTTAGATTTAACCTCTGATGGACTGCCATCAGCAAGAGCAGCCCTAATTCTCATGGTTGTTCCATTGCAACCGCAACAGTACTGGAGGGTACCAGTTGCCTATTTCTTTGTCAACAGTGTTTCAAGTTCTGAAAAGGCCAACATTATAAAAGAGTGTATTCTTCGACTACATTCTGCTGGATCTATTGTACTATCTGTTACTTGTGATATATTCTCTTCTGATAGGACGTTCCTCAACTCACTTGGTGTTTCCTATGAACTTTTGCCACAAATTTGCCCTTATTTTGTCCATCCATGTGATCCGTTACTTCGAGTTCATGTTGTGTTTGACCATTGCTCACTTCTAACATCAGTACAAAATATGTGGGCAAGCTCACAAGGTTTTCAAGATAAGGAGGGAAGGAGTATTCTGTGGAGATTTGTTGCTGAACTCATAAAACTTCAAGAAGCTCAAGCAGCAGGTTTTACCCAAACTTATGATGTTCCTCATTGGTCCTGGGATTCAATCCATATCAAAAACAAACTTCTTGCTCAACTTTTTACTGAGAGTACTGCCAATGCTTTGGAGTACTGTTGTAACACATTGAATCTTGCTCAGTTCCATGGATGTGAGGGAACAGTAAAGTTCATCAGAATTATGAGTAAAATAAGCAACTTGCTGAGTTTTAGGAGAAATCTAAAATCAGTAACAAAAGGCCCTGAAGAAGCATCTCTGAAGTCTGTATACATTGAAAGTCTTGATTACTTGTATCACCTCTATGATTTGAAAAATGAACCACTTCATTCAGCTAGCCACGGGAGTATTCGATTATTGTACCTCACTATAATGTCCTGCCAAGAGCTTCTTCGACAAGTACCAGGGTTCTCAGCTCATTGTGTGAGTCTTGATGAGGCAGAAATGCTGCCATATGTAATAAGAACTTACACAGGCTGGAGTTCTGCACCAACTGCACGTCAGTTCACAGCAGCCTTTTTATCCCATGTTGAAAAGTATGGCTATTTTACTTCATGGAGTTGTGCTCAAACAAACAGTTACTGGTGGGTGGACTCCTTGGATGTTTCAACAGCACGTAAAGAAGGGTGTTTTGTGTCAAAACCCGAATTTGCTAGTCCTTGTGTTGCAACAAATTTCAATGCACCCATTTCCAATGAACATGTGCATCCTACCTCTGAGTTGAGAAGTTGTTCAGCTAGTAACTTTATTGCTGTGTGTGTTGTTAAAGCCGTTGCAGATATCCTTCATTGTGAGGCATGTCTTGATGCACTGCAAGATCCTCCTCTCTCTGACAATCCTCTTTTGGTCCTTCTTAGAAAAACTTGTGGAGCTGCCTTGTGCCCTTCAAAAGATGTTTTAAAAGTGTGTGCCTGTACTGAACGAGTCCTCCAAGAAGGCCTTAGAACTTCAAAACCCAAGGTAAAACAATCAATATTTGAATGGAAAGATGAAGCTTTTGTAACTCAAATAGCAATTACAGTTGTTAAAGATATTTTAGAAGAGGACCAATCTATATTTAAATCTTTAAAACAGCATATTCTTCAGTGTGCTCCAGATGCCAGTCATGAATATCGACTTATTCGAGGTATCTCATCGTGTTATGCCTTAATGCGATTGCGTTACTTTAGGTCTTGGTGTCCTGCTTAAAATACTGTGGTAGATTATATGTGTGTAGGAGAACTCTTAGAATTTATTGTGACTGTCCAATTCTTTTGTTTTATAGTGTTAGTAATTTAAAACAATTATTCACTGCTTCTAAGTGTAATGGTTTGAGAAACTGAAAGTTAAATAAAATTCAGAGATCATTGGAGAGGACACAATTTATTTTGTTCTCGTCCCAAATTTGTAACTAACACTGGAAACATTATTGTTTATTTCAAGCTTTATGCTTGTCATGCTCATACTACCCACAGCATTATGCATTGCTGATGATCTTCTGTAAATCTTTGGAATACCAGATTTATCATATTTTAAGTACAGATGACAATTTAAGTAGGTAGCAATGCTGTAAGTTCTTAGAAAAAGTCTTAAACACACTAGATTACAAAATAAAATAACAATGCACAACAGTGATGTAGGTATACGACTAGCTTGTGGGTTTGGACACACCTTGCTGAAATAGCCAGAGAATTCCACACCTTTCACACTGGTTCTATGGCAGTGTACACGTTTTCCAATAGGCAGAGACCGCATATTTTTTTTTCTTAAAAATGCATTGATTGTTGTGTGTCTATTTCTGGTTTATGCTTAGCATGTTCATACTGATTAATACAGAAAAAAAATTCTTGTTGCTTGATTATGACAGGATTTACAGGGGGAGGAAAAAAAAACAAGAAAGGATGATAAAACTTCAGTTTCAGACTAAGCCTAAATTTTACCATAAGATCTACAACAATTCTAAGCAGAGGTGGCTAGACTTAACTTTGCGCTCTTCTGTTTATCTATGAAAAATAATTTCTTAAAAATGGGTAGCGAAAACGACTGACCAATGCGTGCGGAGATGGGTGCATGTTGTCTGACCACCTCTGTTCTCTTAAACTTGATAACATCAACAACGAATATTTAACTTTATATTTTATAAACGCACCGAATGCCCCAAGGCAATATTTTGAGCCAGATAATTTTAGTACGTTTTCACTTGATGTTCGTCCCAGGTAAATATACTGAAATTGGTAAAAAAATTCCAACTATTTTGTTGGCAATTACAATGCATTCATACCAATCTTGAGATAAGATTTTACGTACCAATAGCTTATTAGAGCATCCTAAAAATATTACGGATACTATTGCCTTCTTCCGGCAAGGATTTTATTTGTTGCTTCCTACTATTTCATGCAAATCTGACTAGTTGGCGGAAAACGTTTTTTTTTTTTTTTTTTTTGTAGAATATCCTAAAAATATTACGGATACTATTGCCTTCTTCCGGCAAGGATTTTATTTGTTGCTTCCTACTATTTCATGCAAATCTGACTAGTTGGCGGAA